AAATTTTAAAAAATATTTATTTATTTATGCTTACAGAACTGGGGTACAGGCCAGAGGTGTGGTGGGTGAGCGGATTCATTAGAGACAGTGGGAAGAACAGGCAGTTTGACAAAGTACCCTGTTGAGGGGAGCAGTGGGTGGGTCAGGAGAGGTCTGCCACACCATGGGGGTCAGCTCCCTGGCTGGGGATCAAATTCGTGCTGCAGTGGCTTTGGAAAGCTTCATAAATCAGTGCTTTAACCCAGTGCTTTTAATTAGGGAGAGCCCTAATTAAAATTTTTGTTTGGTTTTGGATAACAAAACCAAATGCACTCTGCAAGAACTACCTGAAAAAGTGCATCTCCCTTTTGGTTAACCTGTTAAGTATTTGTCTTAGTAGGGAAACAAAAGCCTTGTAGAACTATGAGTTGTGGAAATATTTAATTTTTATTGAAGTAGCTATAATAATTCTAAGCACATCTCTAAATAAAGAAAAAATGTTTTTCCATTAAAACTTTTAGACAAATGAAAGATGAGAAACAGTTTATTGTTTTTCTTTTAAATGTGGAATAGAGTTTGAAACTAAAGCTCCATAATGAAGAATAGTCACTGTAAAAATTCATTTATCCAATTTTTGCTTACTCTGCTATCACAAAGATGATTTATTGGGCATCTTCCTTATTTCAGTAAGGAACAGTGTGTTGACAGCAAACATTTTTTTGTCAGTAGGTTAATCAGTGTTGTAGAAGAGTCCTTTCTTTGAACAATTTACATTGATTGGAATTAGCACCGAATTAGGAGTCAAGAAACCTGTTCTAACCAGTCAACAAAAATAATTACAGTCTGGTGTGCCAGGCAATGTGGCAAGAACTAAGTAAGGATACAGGGCCCCCGTGGTGGGGCAATGGCTTAAAGCACAGCACTGAGGAGATTGAACTCATGCTAAAGCAGCTGTGGCTAGCTTGTAATGCTGTGCTTTAATCTGTTTTACCACCAGGAAGGGCCCCTTTCTTAAATGTTTTAACCACCTCTTCCAGTCACATTTTTTGAATTCCCACTTAATATGTGAATAAAAATCAGCCTTCACAAGCTGTATTTTTTTTTTTAGTTTAATTCACAAGGCCTAATATTTTTTCTTTCCAATAATATTATAGCACAATTTATTCAAATGTGAGTAAAGTTGTTTTGAATATTTTTTACATATTTTTATTTTTTTAAGCATACAAGAACTGGGTATAGGTCAGAGATGGGTTTTTGTGTGTGTGAGTGTGTGAGAGAGAGGAGGCGGGCGGAGAGAAAGAATCCTAAAAATATCATTGGTTTTGAACAAGTCATTATAAAATTACTCTGAAATCTGAGTTTAATTTTCCTTAGTTTGATGGTTTTGCTTGGTGGCAAAACCTGACCTGAGATGACCTGAGGATATTTATAATCTTAATCTTACTTAGTGTACCTTTTCATAAGTTTGTTGCAAGAATAGTAGTGTATTTGATTACAGGGTATTTAATTACCCTGCTGAAGATGTTACATAATTATATGGTAGAGATATATGAAATCTGAGCTCCAAACATTCCTGGGTTCAGATTTTTGGATAAGGGAGTATTGGCTCATAGTGCACATTCATTTTAGGTAAGTAGTAATAATAGATAAGCAAAAATAATACATTGAAATTTACCTGTAAAATTGAAATACTGTGAGCTATTATATACCCCTCCTATAAGATTAGTTAAAGTGAAAAATATTTAAGAACACCAAATGTTCTAAAGGAACTTTAATAAACTGCTAGTAAAAATATAATAGATTATTTTAGAAAACTATGTAGCATTTTTTCATGAAGTTTAAATACACTTATACTTCTAGCCACCCCACTGCAAGAGAAATGAAAACATAACATCCACAAAGATTCTTTTTTTTTTTTTTTTTTGAGATTTACTTATTTATGCACATAAGAACTAGGGTACAAGGCAGAGGTGCAGGGGGTGAGAGGATTTACTAGAAACAGAGTGGGGAGCAGAACAGGCAATTTACTGAAACACACTGCTGAGGGGAGCAGTGGGTGGGTCAGGAGATGTCTGCCTCACCATGTGGGTCACCTCCCTGGCCAGGAATTGAACTCAAGCTGAAGTGGCTGCAGACAGCCCTACAGTGCTATGCATTGACCTGTTACAACACCAAGGAAGGCCCCCAAAAGATTCTTACTCAGGAGCAATAATAGCATATTTAGTCACTATAACCAATACTTGAAGGCAGCCCAGAAGAACAGATAAAATAGCTATAGTATATACATTGGAATACCACTCAACAATGAACAGAAACTAATCAGACTACACTCACAGTGTACATATCATTCAATACATGCCAATATGCTTCTTATTTTCCCATGTATGTTACGAGCAAAAGCTGAACTACTCTGGTTGGGTGGAAGAGAATGGTAGAGGAATGGTGAACTACATGACCTGTAACATCCATTCTAGGTCAATAGATGTATTTCTCTGTGTTGGAGAGACTAGACAGCATAACTCTTTAAATGTATTCTGTTTATTATAATCCTAGCTAATTGGGAAAATAATATTTTTGGAACACGTACTGTGATTCAGGCTTTGTTCAGGTGCTATATGTGGATTAAATAATTTAATCTCATAACCTTATAAAGTGGGTTCCTGTTCTTATTTGCAAATGGTGGAATGAGATAGGCAATATACCCAAGGTCGTACCATTAGTAAATGATAGAACCCAAATACGAGTTCAATCCTTTAGCTCTAGAGTTGACTACTACATTATAGTTGACTTCAAAATAAACAGAATCATTCAGCTTTGTATCTAGAAAAAATAGAGAATTTACTGTGACAAATCTGCTTTTTATGTTTGTCTAGAGCTAGCCAATATGGAAGAGGATCCCAGATCAGCTGGAGTTGCTACCTTTGTTCTTCAAGAAGAGTTTGATAGATATTCTGGTTATTGGTGGTGTCCAGAAGCTGAAACAAGTAAGAGAGTTCAAAATAATATAGGTCAATTAAAGTATGAAATTCAACTATCAGTTAATTAATTAAGGACAAGGGTTGAAAATCCTTGGTAGTAGATGCTAAAGTGATGAACACTGGATCCTACAGTGTTAGAATATGCAGGGTCTGTCCCACCATGGTGAATAAAAATAATTATACTGTAGTTCAGGGTATCATGTTCTACTCCTTTGTTAAATCTTTAATCTAAAACTGGTCTTGGTAATGTTGGTGGCAGAATAAAACAAATAACCACACCATAATGAGTTGGTTTAAAAATGTATGGTTGACAAAAAAAAAAAAAATGTATGGTTGACTAGAGAATCTGTATGAACAAGTGGCCAAATTATTATGAATGAAACAGAGAAAGGGCATAAGTTCTTCCTTTTTCTTGGTGAATTCACAATATTTTACTGTCTGGAAGCTTGAGAAGCAGCTCTCAGAAGCATTGTCTGCAAAATTTTTGGTCATGATCCAATTAGAAATTTGCTTTATATTGTGACCCTAGTACATTGTATACTGGATACATAAAATTGGAAACAAATTTCACAAACAGTATCCTCGGTGTAATATGTTCTGATACTATATGTCCTTTTCCATTGTATTTTTTTAAATGCTGGTTAGAATAAATTTTCATAACCCACTAATGGATTATAGCTAGTAAGCTGAACATTTCTCTAAGGGGCCATGAAAGTTATTTATTTTTAATTCCTGTCTTAGGTTTGGACATTTCATTTTAAGGTGTAAGACATTTGCCATAATTATTTGTTAAACTAAGACTTTAAGTGAATGAAAGAAAACATTTAAACAAATCGACTAAATAGTCTTTATTTTGTTACAGGAAACATTGTGAATAAAATTAAACAATTCATTTTTCAACAATAAAAAAATGCATTTTAAGGTATCAAGCACCAAAACAAAATCCTTCACAATTGTTTCCCTGACTTAAATATGTGTATAATATACATAATTGTCTTCAATTTTTATTTCCAAAATGAATAACTTTTAGCCAGTTAAAGTGGGTTGATAGTAACATAACTTTGCTCTACTGCAGAATAAAATGCTAGGTAGCTCTGATTACCTTCTGGAATAATTCTTCTAAATTTTCATCCTCAATTTCTTTTAAGCTCCCAGTGGCAACAAAATTCTTAGAATTCTGTATGAAGAAAATGATGAATCCGAGGTGGAAATAATTCATGTTACATCACCTATGTTGGAAACAAGGAGGGCAGATTCATTCCGTTATCCTAAAACTGGTAATGTATTCATTAGCATTTATATAGCATTCACTTCTTTTTTCCGAACAAGTTTCCCTTCACTGTCAGCCAAATGTATAGTCAACATTGGTCATTTTCAGCCTTGATGTGGATGGGTTTTTTAGTGTCACTGAAGTAGATTTATTTATTTATTCATACAATCACTTGGTTACAGGCACAAGTGTAGAAGATAAGAGGATTTACCAGAGACCGCGGGGAACAGAACAGGCAGATTGACTGAAATACACTGCCAAAGGGAGCAGTGGGCGAGACGGGAGATCTGCTGTGCAGTTATGTGGGTCAGCTCTCTGGCTGGGGATTGAACTCATGCTGTAGTGGCTGGCCCTAGCTTGATAGTACTAAGACTTAACCTCTGCCACCAGGGAGACCCTGAAGGAGATTTTTAAAATAAAGACTGAGGCTTTTTAGTTACTTTGGGGTTGTGCACAAAGCTGGTTACTTCAAGGAATGAATAAAAAAGATATCTTTGGACCCTCCCTGGTGGCGCAACGGCTTAAAGCACAGCATTAAGAAGCTAAAAACCACTTCAGCATGAGTTCAATCCCTGCCCAGGGGTGACCCACATGGCGCCACAGACCTCTCCTGACCTGCCTGCTACTCCCCTCAGCAGTGTACTTCATCAGTCGGCCTGTTCTGCTCCCCACTCTGTCTCTGGTGAATCCTCTCACCGCCCCTGCACCTCTGG